GCATCGGCAGGCGGACTCCCAACCACTGCGCCACCAGGGAGGCCCCCTGTAGCCTGCTTTTTTGATTAAATAATATTTCGTTTTTCTTTATCAGTGAATAGAGATCTGTATCACTTTTTAACAGGTGCATGATAATATCCTCTTGTGTGGCTGTACCATTATTTAGCTAAGTGTACCCTATTAACCCATCGTCCAGATTGTTCCTGTCTTTTTGCCATCATAATAAACATTGCTGAGATAGATTTGTGCAGACATTTTGGATTTTTGTTGTCTCCTTAGATTTAAATCTTCTAAGTGTATTTTTAAAATCCTTAATCCATTTGGAACACGTTTCTGCATGTAGTGGGGGCTTACTCTCTTTTCTCTGAGAAATAAAATACTTCCTGCCATATCTGTAAACGGAAGGATGTCACAATCCTCAGGGATTGCAGCCACCGCCTTGGTGAGCTGGAGAGCCCTGAGGGAACTCAGGGATGAAAGAATACCTGCCATCTAGCAGCCAGTCAGACTGCAGCCACTCCCCACAGTGAGCCCTGAGGAAAGTCCGGATGTGAAAACACAGGATCCTGGCCCCAGATAGCTGAGGTGCATATCAAAGGAAGCATTTCAGTGAGCCCAGACTCTTGCATCTTTCCATACATAAAAAAGCACTAAATTCCTTAACTTGAGATATCTGGTTTTCTTTAATTAACAGTAATCTTTCGACGTTCAGACTACCTGCCCTCTGCTGCAAAACCCCTATATATCCTGCCTCCCCCCTGGCCTCCTCGGAGCAGTTTCTCAGGTTTACTTGAGATGCTGCCTCACGGGCTTGAGGTCCTTAGTATGCCCGCTGAATACAATATAGCTCTCAACTTTTCGGTTGTGAACATTCTTTTAGTCATATCTCATATGGTCAGTCACTTGTTCCAATACCGTTTAATGGAAAAGGCATCCTTGCCCCACTGATTTGAAATTGCTGTCATTATATGTTAATTTCCCCTACAAATGGATCTCCTTTGTTCCCGTGCCAATGTTGCACTGTTGCCATTACGATAGCAAGTTTCCAGGAGGAGGTTTTAGACTTAAAATCTAGTCAGGGTTCTCCAGAGAAACAGAACCAATTGGATATATAGAGATTATGTAAGAGGAGATTTATTATAGGAATTGGCTCGTGTGATTAAGGAAGGTGGGGAAATGTCACAGTCTACCGTCTACCGGCTGGCGAACCAGGAAAGCTGGCGGTATAATTCAGGTCGAGGCCCAGAATCCGAAGGCTGAGAATCAGGAGCTTTGATGTCTGAGGGCAGGAGAAGATTGTCGTCCCAGCTGAAGAAGACAGAGCAACGGCTCATCCTTCCTCCACCTTTTTGTTCTGTTCGAGCCCTCAACAGATTGGATGGTGCCCCACCCACACTGGCGCCGGTGGATCTTCTTTCCTCAGTCTGCTGATTCAAATGCTAATCTCATCCAGAAACACCTTCACAGACACACCCAGAAATGTTTTACGAGCTATCTGGGCATCCCTTAGCCCAGCCAAGTTGACACATAAAATTAACCACAATCTAGACCCTCCAGTGTCTGTAGCCATCTGCCTGTCACTTGCTGGGATAAAGGTTGATACCAACCTGTGCCATTCTGTACACAGTATACCTCGGTGACATTGTTCTGCAGGATGACACACGAAGAGTCCTCGTGTCAACCAGCTTGATTTGCGCTGTAGTAAGTGCTCTACAAACACTTGGTTTCAAGATCCGGCACTCAATAAAATTTGCTCCAGAAGAGGTGGGTTTTTTATAAGGCTGCAGTGTAAGATTTCAAGAGCATGACAGTACCAGGTCTTAAGTTGCACTGAGGTGGGAATATGAAGAGGCAGAATAAACGATGGCCTGCTTTCCTAGCCTGAATTCCGAACCAGTTGAGATGAAAGAGTAAGAAAGATAGCAGACAAAAATAGACCTTTATTTCCAATAAAGCTGATACTGTCGAATGTGGCTTATATCTGCAGGCAGCTGGGCTTCTGAATACAGCACCTGAAACTGAGGCACACTCTATTCAGACCTCACTGGCTGTGCTGGAGCCCTGCAGGCCACTGCCATGGGGGCTGGCCCTTCTCACAGAGGCAGAGAGCGGAAGAGGACCCTGACCTTCTGTGGCAGGCTGATTCCCAAAGAGGAAGAGGAGAAGCAGGGTTCAGCTATGCGAGCGCAGCTGCTTCTTTCAAGTCCACCAATCAGATCAAGCTGTTTCCTTCCCACTATGGAGGGGTGGGTGAGATACAGCAAGAGTTGAGGAGTGTTAATGTTAACGGAGTACCCTCCATGGGGAGGGAGATATCACCAAGGGCAGCGGAGGTTTTCCCTAACACTGTGTGGAAGGTCCTGCCCTGCTGATGGAGCAGGGGTCACATTGATACAGGGCACCAAGGTCGTGGCTGAATCTAGTGTTAGTGCAATCTTGGTTTTATTTTGTGGCCTCTTCTCGTCTCTCTAGGCTTATGTCTTGCCATTCGTGCTCTTTGCGTGAGTCACGATCTCCCTCACTTCTTGGTCTTCACACGTGCCTGAAACACACTCCTGGCCCACCTTCACTGCCATCTTTTTTTGTCTGGCTTACTCCCTTCCCTCCTTAGGACTCACTTCCTCCGAGAAGCTTTATCTGGCACCCAAGTGTGAGCTAAATGCTTCCTGTGCTCCTCACACGACCCTGTACTTACCCAGCAGGACCCGTACTCCGTATTTTATTCCCAATTACTCTCTTCTGCATGAGAATATGAGCTTCATGAAAAGAATTATTGATATTTTCTGTGTCGTTTCCATTAGAAGACCTCAATGATTGTTTGTTCAATAAATTCATAAATATTATTTAAAAATTATTCTGTTGTAAGTTTTGCATCCATGAATTGATAATCTTTTGGCTAGTTCCTAAATGCACAAATGTATAGGAAAATGATCAGAAACCCATTGCCACTTACAGGTTATGAAACAACTTTTTGAATTTTCATATTAAAAAAGATTAGTTAGATCTACTCTTTATGCCTTAGGATACAGCAAAAACAGACTGCAAAAACAATCTGGCCTAGACATATATAATGCGTTCTTGTATGGAGGAGGAAATAATCTTATTTGTGTAAAACAGTTGTAACTGATATATATGCTGAAACCTTCATAGATATTTTCTCTTCTCTTACCTCTTGGGTATATTTTTTTTTCTTTCCTGTTGAAATATAATATTTCTACTCTTTTTGTGGTTTTAGAGATTTGTGATTTGTTCCTTAAAAAGTATTATTTACTCTTTTTAAGTAGTGACTTAAATTGTTATATTTGGTGGAATGAGTCTTTGAGCAAAAATTAGATCTGGCTTACATAATTACAGGAGATGTTGGGATTTTGATTGCAGACTGCATTTTCTGGTTTGCTCGTTTAATAATGGTTAAAGAGAGTTTTGAAGTATAGTTTCCAAGGTTAAAACGGATAAACACATTAAGCTTTAAAGAAAGCATTTGGATAGCTAGAATGTGAAAACTTCATCCAACGATGCAGATGATCGGAGTTGTCGCCCGTAAGCCTGAGGCGGGGAGCCACGCGTGGTTTGCCAGTAAACGTGGTTTTGCAGACACCTTTCAGAGCTGTTGTGGCTGATTGGTATTTCTTGTTGGCATTACAGATGAATTTCATAAGTGTGTACAAAATGAGCAAAATGGAAAGTCGAATCTAAATAGAGGGGTACAGAGAGGACCCCAGCACCAACGTACAAACGGCGTCTTAAGCTTTCAGTGTTAAGTCTTATATTTCAAATGTTACCATGTCCCTGGGGTAGTTTAAAATGCTAAGTAGTTGGGTATCTTTTTCATTTTTGTTAGTTAGGATAATCACAGTCGTTTTTAAAATGAGAATTGTAGAGCTGCTTGATTTTTCCGTTTAGTGAAATCATGAAATAAGAAGGGCTCGATTTTCTAGTGCTGTTTAGAATCGGTGAAATTTCATTCTGCCAAGAGGTACTGTGATTGCAGACGCTCCCAGGACGGTTTTGCTCCCTGCACAGAATACCTACCATAGATGGCTGCTGGTACTCAGATTTACTTACCAAGATCAGTGTCGTCAAATAGAACTTTCTCTAAAGATGGAAATGCGTTATAATCTGCGCTGTCCACTGTGGTGGCCACTAGGCACATGGGGCTGTTGAACCTGCGAAATGTGACTAGTGCAGCTGAATGTTTTATTTTGTTTAATTATTTTAAACGTAGCCACTTGTGGCTAGTGGCTACTGTGACGGACAACACAGAATTTCAACACGGACAATGCTTTTAGATTTAGTACGGTCTTGCCTCTGGAAAAGTTGACTTTAATTTCTATGAATTCATTTGATATATCTCGCCAGCATTTATTGAGCGCCTCAGGAGTGTGTGCGCCTGGTGTTGGAAAGACACGTCCTTTGGATTTCTCCTATCAGCCTGTAAAGGAAGGTGTGGAGGCCTGAGAACTGTCGTCCCACACACCTGGGTGAACGTGGCCTTGGTAACAAGGCTCCTGCTGTTTCAACAGGAGCTGCCTCTCTTTCACCCTGGGCTCTGGGACCCACCGTGGCAGGGCCTCGTCCCGGCGGGCTGAGGGTATGAGTGGCGGCCCCTCTCACCCAGCTGGGAGCTCTGCTTGCTCAGGGCTGCATCTGCCTGGAGGAAGGGGCTCCCACTTGAAATTCTCTCAAAGATGTTGCCTGGGCTAGTGTGGCCCTGTCACTGAGGTTCATCCCCTCAGCTCGCTCAACCATCTTAGTTGCTCCTGACACTTTGGGCAACACATTTTCAGTGGAAAAAGTGAACAACTCTTCACAGCCCTCCAACACCTACTTTTTCTTCTGTGGTTTTTTTTTTTTCCCCAAAGGTATCTTACCTCCTGGAAGGGGGCAGCATGGCCCATGAAGACTTCTGTGGACACACTGGTCAGTTGAACCCAGGAGACCTGCAGGTATGGCTGAGATGAGGAATGGCTGATGGTTTCATAGTCTTTGGGTGAGGCTCCTCTGTCCCACCCACTTCTGGTAGCTTCCCGCGTCCCCTGCTCTGTCTGTTAACACCTTGGACTTGTCCCTTTCTATGGCTTCTTGCACTCCGCCTGAAAACCTGCACAGGTCCCTTGTATTCCTCTCTCGTGCTTCCCTGGGCCCTCCCAGTCAGTTTTTAGCTCCCACGTAGGGCTTTTCCTGATGTTTCTGAAAAAAGTAATCGCAAGTTACTGTCTCGGCTTCCTTCTCTTCTGTCCCATCCTCCACTCACTGAAGTCAGGGTTGGCCTCTCAGCACTGACCCCCAAACCTTTCCTGAAGCTGTTCAGATCACGGTCACTCATGATGTCCCAGTTGCTGCCACATTCACTGCGCCAGTTTCCGGCCTCATCTTTCTAGATCTCTCTGCTGCCTTTGAGACAATTTTCTATTTATCTTCCAGTCCATCTGCAGGGGTAGGTGTTGTCACTTAGAGAGCATGACCCAAACCCGGCCACCATCCTAGTCCTGTCTGAGACGTGTTACCATTTAAATCCCCAGGAAGTGCTTGGTTCATCTTTGCCAGTTTTTATAAGTGTGGACTCTATACAGGTAGTTTCTGGGATCATTTACATATTTGGGGGGATGACATCTGCAAATATTTGAATTGTGGTGTTTCAGTGAACAGGAGATTGAGAGGCAGAAATGCAAAAGGGCAAAGAGTCGTGGCCAAAAGTCAACAGTAACCTGTCCCCGGAGCAGAATGTACAGCGTAGCTTCGACTGCTTGTGACCCTGGAAGTGGGTTCTTCCGCCCTCCATGCATCAATTCTAACGTGCCTCGGCATGGTTCCCAGTGGGATTGAGCCCCAGGTGCCCACAGGTGTAACCTGCTCGTTAACCCCCCTTTGTGGCTTTCTCCCTTGCCTGGCTCACCCTTCCTACTCTTCCCTACTTGTGCTTTCTGTACCACTTTCCAGATATACTCCCTGCACTCGAGCCCTTGTCTCAGGATATTCTGTGGGAGAACCCAAGCTGAGACGGGCAAGAAACCTACCTATTGTGTTCTATCCCTTTATCCCCAGATCCCGAGGTTGGCATCTGGCGCTGGCCCTTCATGTGCTCTTAGTAAAGAAATAAATGAACGCTTGAAAAGTCTGCAGAAGAGCGGAGGCAGTAACTTCCTCCAAGTGGTGAGGGCTCCGTTCCCCGTGTTGAAGTCAGCCGCCTATGGTGTGGTGGGTCCCGTGGGCCTCCACGGGTACCAGTAGGCCCACCCCGTGTCCTCCAGCTGCTGCGAATACCGGCTGTTGATGGCTTTCAGCTGCAATCCCACTCTGGGCGCTGCCCTCTGTCCCGGGAACTGCCTCTCCCAAGGTTGTGCTCGCTACTGCAGGGTGGCCCACAGTCAAGGGTTTGCTGATGTGGAGATAGGAAAGCCTCAGTTTGGGACAATTCTGAAGTTTCGTCCGACTCCAGAGCTCCCTGTTGGCTCGGCTAAGGCCTCCGTTGTACAATAACTGCATTAGTGATTGCCTTCTCCCCCTGCCCAATCCTGCTTTCTTCACTTGTTAAGATGCGTCTCCCGAGAGCACGTCTCAGTTTACTCTCTGCCCGCAACTCCCCATCTAGGGGCGCAATCTAAGACTCAGGGATGCCAAAGAGGGGGTTCTTCCGTTTGTGTGATTTCCAGAGCTGATGATTTGATCGCACACGCGGAAGCATGGGACATGTTGGAAAACTGGAAAGGGCCCCAGCAGTCGGCTCTGTCGTTTTGTTACTCCTCGGAAAGCAGACTTGTAAGGTGCCTGACTTAGTTACCAGGTGGTAATCATCCCACCTGTGGACGCATTAGAGGCCGGGTCACACTTCCTTCTTGTCGGTCTGGTGTTTGCAGGGGATGACCGCGGGCCGGGGCATCGTGCACGCCGAGATGCCTTGCTCGGAGGAGCCAGTCCACGGCCTACAGCTGTGGGTTAACTTGACGAGCCCACAGAAGATGGTGGAGCCTCGGTACCAGGAACTGAAAAGCAACGAAATCCCTAAACCCAGTAAAGGAGGCTGTGACCATTGCTGTCATTTCTGGAGAAGCCCTGGGAGTCAAGGTAAGCCGCGCTGTGGTGTATTTGTGAAAGCTGAGGTATGCAGCGACACGAGGCTGGCCCCCTCTGGGTCGACAACTCTCACCGGGTTTGTCACGGTTCAAGTCCCATGGGATGGACTTGCTTCAAAGGTGTCAGAATAAATGCAGCCTAAGGGAACCCAGAATTTATTTTGCCACGTGCAAACCTTTAGAGTTAGGAAAATTACAGGAAAGCAAGCTCATGTAAAGAATTTGGTAAAAAAGCAGTTTTCAAGATTCATCTTAATATGTGTGCAGATTGAGCCTATTTCCTTTTGTTTATAGTGCAGTTTTAGAGTGCCTCGTTTAAGAAACAAAAACCAAAACTGACTCCACTCCCCGAAGATTGATTTAATTATTTATGCTCACCTTAGTAAGGACAGCACACTACGACATCATAGAAAGGTTTTTAAAAAAATTAACTCGAACGTGTATTTAATCCATACACGCCACGCCCTGTACATTGCTCTTAACTGAGACTTCATAATATTTCGGTTCCAGGTCCCACCTTTTAATCAAATGAGATCAATTTTGGCTAAACTTTGTGAACAGATTTTGGTAGGCAAAGGGTATGGCCAGTATTGTGTTAATTGCACACCAGAACTGCTTGCCTGGAGCCCAGGTTCCTGGTGGTGAGCTCGGTAGTGTGGTCTCTTAGGCTGAAATGGTTAAAAGGGATGGGAAGGGGGGATCTGGGAGGGCCCCCCCCCCACCTCCAGTTCCACACGTGCTACCTGTTGTCTGTTACCTGTTGTTGAGTGGTATCAATATATTGGGAACCACTTTGCCATTCTCTTCGTGCAAACAGCACTTAAAACTATTTTAAATACTAATTTATGTACATTTAAATTTTGTTTATATGCACCCACAGGGATGATGGCCAGGCAGTGGGATGCATTTCATGGTTAAGAGGTTGGTCATGATTACTGGTTAGGACTTAACTGGTTTTTGTATTTCCTGCACCATAACCCACGGTTCTTTTCTTGTACTGTGCCTAGGAGTATGTGTTATTTTGCTTTGCTTCCAGTGCAAACAGAAGTGATTGAAGAAAAAAAATACCAAAATTCACTCCCTAATAAGCATATATAGCTGACTGCTATCTACGCCCTGGCAGGCCTCCACGTTACTTTGCAGTTGGAAACGTCACCCTTCATTGTGTTTCTGTGACCCATTCGTGTTTTGCCAAGCATTGGGCAGTGCGCTTTTCAACTGTGCGTCGAGTTTCCTTCTCTTCACCTTCACAGGGGAGAATACAGGTCCTGTGAGGTCTTTCAGGTATAAGGCAGAGAGGACCTCACCTTGTGTAGAGTCAGGCAGGGAGGGTCTAAGGAGAGCTGAATTGGTGCAGAGGAGAGGCGGCTCACTGTGTTGCCCATGGCGTTTTTCATTCTGTGTTTTCAGGACTCTAGGGACGGGCCTTCTTGGGATACTGAGGCAGATGGTAAAGGTCAAGAGATTTCCTTCTCTCCACTTCAACCAAAGCCCAAGGCTTTACCCAGTCACATGTATTCGTATTGTCTTTAAGATTTCACTTACAAAAAGAGTTATCTGCAGCTAAAAAGAGAAATTAGACCACTGATTTAATGCATAATCAAAGCCAGCGATATCATGAATCCTTAACATTTACAACTGCTTCTCATTTATAGAAAATACAGTGCAGTTTTAATGTCAGAGCTGGTACCATTTACAGGCAGAAGGACATTTTAAAGCACTTCCAAGCAGCAGACCATGTGCTCTCGCAATCCCAACTAAGAATTAGAAACCAGACGTAATAATGTTTTAACTTAGCGAAATAATGTCTTAGTAGCGGCCAGCCTCTCTCTTTTTGTCAACTGAAACCTCTGAAGTGAATTACAGTCTCCTAAATAAGTGATCAGTCTTTATTTTTTAAAATTCATTAATTAATTATATTTACTTTTGGCTGCATTGGGTCTTCGCTGCTGCACGCGGGCTTTTCTCTAGTTGTGGTGAGCGGGGGCTACTCTCCGTTGCGGTGCGCGGGCTTCTCATTGTGGTGGTTTCTCTTGTTGCGGAGCTCGGGCTCTAGGTGGGCGGGCTTCAGTAGTTGTTGTGGCACGCGGGCTCAGAAGTTGTAGTTCACAGGCTCTAGAGCCCAGGCTCAGTAGTCGTGGCGCGGGGGCCCAGTTGCTCCGCGGCATGAGGGATCTTACAGGACCAGGGCTCAAACCCGTGTCTCCTGCCCTGGCAGGTGGATTCTTAATCACTGCACCACCAGGGAAGCCCGATCAGTCTTTATTATGAGAGCATTTGAATAAGGGACTCTTGGAAGCCTGGGCAGCATTAATTTGGGCTCTGAGAGGCCATGTGGTGCTGTGGTTACCAGTGTGGACTCTGGAGACAGCTGGCCTGGATTAGAATCAGCACCATGAACTAGCTGTGTGGCTTAGGGCAGACCATTGAACCTCTCTGTCCTTCGTTGTCCTCATGTGTAAAATACAGATGCTGTGAGGATTAAGTGATTTTTTTTTTTTTTTTACACTTTAAGTTGTCAAAACAGCATCAGACGTGTTGTAAGCACCACACGAATGGTAGCTGTTATTATTATTATTTTGATTACTTTGTGTTAACTTGGGCAGGAGCTGAGCTGAGATTTATGTTTGTGGTCTATGCTAAAGGGACTTGCTGGGATTTGGGAAAGGTAATTAACCTGCTTTGAAGAAAAGACACCAGTGTGAGTCATTGTATACACGGGGGGCTCTTGAACATTTCTTTCTGGGTCTCCTAAGAAACGTAGTTTTGCACATCTGAAGCCTTAATATCTGCTCACACAGGAATGATTGGATTGTAAAAAGTCTAGATCTACCATAAAAACGAACTGAAGATTGTATTGCATCAGGAAGATAGTTTTAAGTGAAATCACGAGGTGAGGCTGAGAATATACCTTTGAAGAGACTGATGTGTTTATAACCAATAGAGAGTCACCAACAGCTCCCCTCCCAGCACCTTAAATAGCTAGAAAATGGAATTAGTGACCATTCCAGCGCTTCTCCAATTTTAATATTCGCATGGATCACTTGGGGCTCTTGTTAAAATGCAGACTCCGATCCAGCAGGTCTGGGTGAGGCCTGAGGGTCTCCATTTCTAACCGGCTCCCAGGTGATGATGTGGTCTGGGGACCACGGTTTGTAATATGTGTAATGTTTCTGGGATTCAAGACATGGGAGTTTACTTATCAGGAGGGACAGTTTGATTAGGTACCTGTAGAAGATGTTAAGGTCCAATTCTGTGGCTTTTGGCAAATCTTCAACCTTTATGTAGTGAGGGGGTTTTTGTGCAGAACGCTATAAGCTTTTGCGCGCAGCACGACTGACCTTTGATATTCCCAAAGGTAGATGTGTCCCTGTTTCCCAGGTTATGTGTGTCTGGGCATTTCTTTAGCCCTTGGGAAGCCACAGCCAATTGTGAGCAAGATTCTGCCAGGACAGCACAGTCTAAAGTGAAGGCTGAAAGGGGGAAGAGATAAAAATGGGATACTTTGAATAGTTTCTGTCACTTCTGGAAGGTCAAAAATCACATGTTTATTTCATGAGAGTGTGAAATTCTCCAAACCCCATTCCATCCTTATCAGGCAGTCAATCAGGAATATTTATTGCCAGTTCTCTCTGCAACATGTTTCTTTTCCCAACAAACGCCTCTTCTTGCCTCCTGCTGTTTTAAATTACATTACGTCAGAAGCAAACCTTAAGGAGGCCTCAGCCCCACCGGGGTCACAAAAAGGCTATCTTGAGCCAGACTGCTGAGTTCAAGGCCAGCTCCACCACTGACTGACTTTAGAGAAGTCATGTAAGCTTGCTGGGCCTCAGTTTTCTCATCTGTAAAATGGAGATAATTATAATGACCCAGAGGGTCATTGGGAGGATTAACTTGGTTAATGTGGGTAAAGAACTTAGAACAATCCCTGGCGTCGAGTAAGCCCTCTATAAGTGGTTGCTACTTTTACTTTTTTAAAAATTATTTTATTTATTTTATGTTTGGCTGCATTGGGTCTTCGTTGCTGCACGCGGGCTTTCTCTGGTTTTGGTGAGCGGGGGCTACTCTTCGTTGCGGTCCATGGGCTTCTCATTGCGGTGGCTTCTCTTGTTGCGGAGCACGGGCTCTATGCACACCGGATTCAGTAGTTGTAGCACGTGGGCTCAGTAGTTGTGGCACGTGGGCTCAGTAGTTGTGGCCTCAGGCTCTAGAGCACAGGCTCAGTAGTTGTGGCCTCAGGCTCTAGAGCACAGGCTTAGTAGTTGTGGTGCACGGGCTTAGTTGCTCCGTGGCATGTGGGATCTTCCCAGACCAGGGCTCGAACCCTTGTCCCCTGCATTGGCAGGCGGATTCTTAACCACTGCGCCACCAGGGAAGTCCTACTTTTACTTCTTTGCAGAAGCTTTGTGCAGTGTTCATGTGTCCCACAGTCATAACAAGAAGAAGCTTCCTTCTGATGAGCAGACTGTATATTCATGTATTGGGTAACCAAGATTTTAAAAATTCACCTTCCAAGAGTTTGCCAACCATCTCATGTAATTTGCTCAGATCTCGTTTACCACTGTGCCCCCAGCACCTGAAACAGTGGCTGATACATACAAGGCAATCAGTAAATATTTGCTGGGCGGATAAGTGAAATCGTTAAAATGTAAATGAATGCTGGAATAAGAGAAAATAGGGTGAAGTAATAAGATCAACAATATAGGGATTAAGAATGACTGCAATAAGCTTAATACAAGCTAACTAAAACGTTGAGAGAACAATGGAATTAGCTAATTTCCGTTTTCAAATGAAATAAACTATTTAAGGGATTCGGAAGCAGGGAAATAAAAACCAGATTGATTTTTTTTTTTTTCCTTTAAATATGAATACTAGGCTGTTTTGCAAGACCCACATTGTTCCTTGCAGGTTTCTTAAATTCAAGCAGTGACAGCAGTCACTGAGCAGAGGTTTGGAGGTTCGTGGTTCCCTTTGGGGGTCCACAGACAGGTG